ATATTGCTTCTCATAGGTCACGCAAAGTTCTTTGACGTAGAATAGAATGGCTTTATATTGCTTCTCATAGGTCACGCAAAGTTCTATGACGTAGAAATGGATGGCTTTATATTGCTTCTCATAGGTCACGCAAAGTTCTATGACGTAGAAACGGATGGCTTTATATTGCTTCTCATAGGTCACGCAAAGTTCTATGACGTAGAAATGGATGGCTTTATATTGCTTCTCATAGGTCACGCAAAGTTCTATGACGTAGAAATGGATGGCTTTAAGTTGCTACTCATAGTTCACGTATAATTCTATGACGTAGAAATGGATGGCTTTATATTGCTTCTCATAGGTCACGCAAAGTTCTATGACGTAGAAATGGATGGCTTTAAGTTGCTATTCATAGTTCACGCAAATTTTTATGATTAGGAAATTGAATAACTGCATTTATCAAACTGATTGTACATTTCTACAAAGCTGCCCCTCTTTATCAAAACTACGCCCCTTGTTAACATCATTTTAATGATATGAAAAGCAGCTGCTCTAGACCCTGAGTCCTTGGTTGTGCACGTTTGTTGTCGTCTTGAAGCAACAAAAAAATGTTTTGGGTTTTGAAATTTTGGAATAACGGTAGATCGAATCGAAATGCTAATCGGATAACCTTCACCTTTTTAACTGTGTTTTTCTTGTTTTTTTTTTCGTAGGTGCATACTGTGTTGGACGTGCTGTCTATGCATGTACTAATTTAAGACTAAAATGAGAATAATACCCGCAATTGATGTACTGGAATGTCGCGTCTGATCCGTTTTGAACAATCCAATGAACTAAACAGATGAAGTGGAATCTAGACTAGTTAAGAGTTAATGGTTGTTTGAGTGTACTGTAATGTGATGTGTATTAGCAGCCTATTTTTCAATAAATATACCATAATTTTCTTAATGATTTGCACTTGTTATCTCTTCTGGCTTTTCTGCCTGGGTGCAGGGGTGGCGCTAGAGACAAACCTTCAAGGTGCCGACGTTTATATTCTCCGTAACTGCCGATGCTGGATGTATCAAATTGCCGACAGAAAAATTCGATTTGCCTCATATTGCAGGCAGGGCCGTCGCGAGGCAAGCCTCGTTGGGGGTAGAGGGGGTGGGGGGTGGTGTGGACTACAAATTTACCTGATTAAAAAATTATTGCCTGAAACTTTTTAGCTGCTGTCACAAACTTCTGCAATACATTTTGTCAATCTAACTCTGTATGATAATAACCGACTTTCCTAATAGTCCTGTCAAATCTCTATATCAGGACGGGCAAAGGATATAGTTACTACCTGAGGCGGCACCATGGTTGCCGCCAAAAGGGCAGGAAATTTTCGAATTGTGATGCTTCTAGTTCCCTGGAAAATGCACTCTTTTAAGCAGATTTCACTAAAGCAATCCTCCTAATCCTATTGAAAATTATTGTCTTTTTGCAAAACTTTTTTACAGCAGATAAAAACAACAATTTCGACGTGGTCTTGAAAAATA